GAGAAGCAAACCAGTAACTGCAGCTCTTTTCTACACTAATTCAGAGGAGTTTACAGGGATCTCTGAAGATTAGGACTGATGGGGAGTTAATGCCAGGCACAGCCACCACCCCTCTCTTTATAACATATTGACTCCACTTAAGGAAGTAAGTTACCGAAGCTTTTTACAGAGATGTTTTGAAATAAGCTGCTTGGACACTGCTCAAGGAATATCACCTACTAGCGTACAACCCAACAAGCAAAGCTGCCCAGCACTGCAAACACACATGCCTAAAAAATGAAAGGCATCCTTGTTCTGATCCACTCCATGGGAATGTCCCAGAAGGAAGGAAAGTCACTCCTATCCTCCTTTACTGGAAGGATCATAGCCTACTTCTGTTACAGTAGCTTGTGTATTTCCTGGCATTAAATACCTTGCATGAGTTTACACTCTACGAGATCTTTGACACATGGGCAAGGTCTGGTAAGCTTGAAGGAAAACAGGCATAAGCTGGAAATTGAAAGTGCTCCATGAATCCACTGTTGATCTTAGAACACATGGGAAAAAGCACATCAGAAAGCTGCCACAACAATCAGGTGGCTGGGGGACACCACCTATTTTCAGAGGAATGAAAGTGACACAGTTAGCTGCGAGAAGACCCAGAGGAGATCGTGCTGCTACCTTCAACAGGAGAGCAAGAAGATGAAACCACACCCTTGGAAGCAGACGGTGAAAGGACAAGTGCGACAGGCAAGTTGCAACAACGAGTGGTCAAACATTGGAGTAGGTGGCTCAAAGATGCTGTGGAAACAAAATGACTTTCTAAACACAACCCTAAACGACCTCATCTAACATCGGTGTTGGCCCTGCACTGAGCCAGGGGTTGAACCAAGGCACCACAAGAAGTCTTTTCCAACCCAAGTAATTTTACCAGTCTCCGGTTCTATATAAAATTATGGATATACTTACACTTCAAACATAAAAGTGAGGGTTCTTCCCACCTATGCAGATGTAACTATGATCCTCTTAGGACAGAGGTCTCAGCATTCACTTCCACACAGGTTCTGGAGGACCTGGCACACTTCTGCATGATCTCAAACACTCTCCAGTTCCTCAGCAAGCATGCAGACTTACAGTCACTCTCGGCAATCTACTGGGGACCTACACTTTCAGAGTGGTGAATATCCAAAGCCACCCAGTATTGAAGAGAACAGCATTAGAAGAGCACAGGCATAGCGTATCACTGCTTAGGAGACACAGAACCACATGTGCTATGAAGTCAAAGAGGGGCTGCACAAAGACCTGCATCAGACAAGGCTCTTATAGGAATTTCAGAACAAAAAGGTAGAAGCACACCCAAGGGACCTCACTACTTGTTTTAAATTTGCAGGAGAAAACCCAAGACCCCAAAGAGTAAATCTAAACTAATAAAAAAGAAAAACATATCTTTGAAGAAGTAAATGCTACTGTGTGCTCTCTTCTCCAGAATCTTAACAAGAAGTTGTATCTTGAGTGCCAGAAGGCAGCTGAAAAGTCTCCCTGGCTGCCTGCATGGGACAGCCTTGTTTGAACAGCTCTAGCACGTAACACATGCTACTGACCAACAACTGCACTTCCAACCAGGAAGAGCCAGCCTGATAACACAGCAGGACAAACATTCAATGCTATCTCCAGTCCTATCTCCCTTCGAGTCTGGTGGAGCTGGAGAGAACATCCCTAAGGATTTGTTTGCACAAGCCACTCAAAGCAGATGTCTCCAAAAACATTACAGATGTCATGCCAGGCAAGTGAGACATCTAAATATTTGATAGTCTGCTCCATCATACTGTCATAGAAGCTGACAAATTCTTCTTCATGTAGGTCAAAAGGCTGGTAGAACAGGGAGAGGATGCAGCCTCTTAGACAGGACAAAACTACTTCCACATACACTACAGGAGCAAAGTATAAAGAACTCTAGGCCCATATAATGCTCCAGGTCGCTCAGAGTAGGCAGGAGTCAACAGTAGTCATTTCTCAGCATGAAGGAGAGGACAGCACTAATATGGAAGGTAGGCAAGGATCAAGTAATCAATGAGTACCTTTTGAGTATTCAGTATTGCCACAGAAAGCGATAAATCTCTCTTCAAAGATCAG